TGATATGAATGTTCTTGTTAGTAAAAAGTTAGTTATAGACAGGAACTTGAAGTGTCCAGTAGGCCATCATTACAATCTACATCCCTGTACGTATCTTGGATTCTCTCAACAACAATACATTGTCATTTCGGCCCTTCCCAATTTTGACACGTTTTGGACAGTACCGTTGTCCACGTAAATATAGACCGTACTATATATGGTCCCTGGAAAATATTGTCCGGGACTATATTTTCTAGAAAAACAAGTCCGACTATATTTCCTTAGGTATTTTAGTTCGTTTGCTAGAACTAGATGTCCGGGTGGACAATAAAAACCAAATTATGGTATCTTAAAAGTCATCCCGGACCATAATTTCTGGTTATAAATTTCCATAGACATGTATTGAACTAATTAATATTTCATTGCCACATAGTCTGGATGTAGAGCCAATAGAGGTGGAAATGCTTATTATATGAATTTTTTTTGCATTATCTGTCTGAACATGATATCCATATTCAGAAACTGCCGGATGCCCAACGGGCATCCTTGAGAAATTTTTTGGGTGGCCATTTTGAATTTTCACACGTTTTATGTATTTTAGCCAGCATATTAGAACAGAAAACTAGCATACACATAAACATATCTTGCTGTTTTTTCTATAAAGCTACGTTCACACCAACGCCGCTTTGATGGCGCTTTAAAGCGGCTTGTAAAGCGGCACCAAAGCGTAACAAAGTTTGATTAAAGCGTCGGGGTCGTAATAGGTAGTAGAAAAGCTCGGAGTTAAGCGGGATATTCGGCAAGAGCACTAAAAATTTAAACTGTTCAAGCTACCGTCGTGCACATGTGCATCAGAAGGCAATGTATTTAGAACTGGGCGATGTTCATGCTCCAAGGCATCTTTATCATGTACATTGTTCTGTGTTTGCAAGGGGAATGAATGCAATAACCAACATACAAATATAGTAACTGAACAGGAATTGGAAGAAACTGATGAGGATTTATTGAGGATAATCCTTGATGAAATCTTAGTAAAAGAAGATAATTCATAAATTCAAGATATATGTAGCACCAAGAAATGACCCTTGTGGGACATCATTATAATTATGTAGAAACTTTTTACTCATTTCAGATATAATATATGTGAGAAAAAGATCATAATCAGATGTATTTAGTATTATTTATTGATAATTTTGTAGGAAACACTAATATCAATTTGATATTATCAAAGAATGAGACATTTCATAAATTGTAAGGTTGGCGGCCATCTTGTATTTTTTTTTTTTTTGTCAAGAAAATTTCTGGAACCTAACATATTGGTATACATCATATTAAAACTCTATTATAGAAAAAACAGCAAGACTTGTTTATGTGTATGCTAGTTTTCTGTTCTAATATGCTGGCTAAAATACATAAAACGTGTGAAAATTCAAAATGGCCGCCAAAAAAATTCCTCAAGGATGCCCGTTGGGTATCCGACAGTTTCTGAATATGGATATCATGTTTAAATAGAAAATGCAAAAAAGTTCATATAATAAGCATTTCCACCTTCACTTAAAATATGGCACTTCACATCCGGACTAATACAAGAAAGTTCATGAAATACTGCTACGTCATATTGTATACCAGTCACAAGTGGAATGTCCCATTCAAGGCTCCGTGTTAAGTACTTTTCAATATCATGTCTCAAACCATTTAATTAAACCAGAGAAATAATGAAATATATTCGATGATCTTTTGTCAATTTTACCAGATTATTTGGCTGTGAAATTAGAACATAATGATACGACGTCAGATACTGTAGCCTACATCACGGCATTTTACTACACTTTAGCATGCGTACCTACTTTTAAAACCTGATCTTGGCAACAAAATACTACTTTTCTACAATTTTTCGTCAACAGATATGAATATATGTCCATCTCATATTAAGCTCATCAAAATGCACGATCATTAATTTTTGAAATTCTAAAATGAGGATCACGCACTCCTTGTAATATGATTTTATACGCTTTAAAACAGGGTGTCGACTGTAACATTTTGAAAAATAATGATTCAAATTTTAGACTGAGTAAAATAATCCCACATGTATCTTTTTCAGATTTTCACAATATTTCAATCAGCCAATTTAAAAAAGGAGTGGTTTCTGTGCACAGTGCAACAATGCTCATTTAACGCTAATATGTTCGATCAAAAAGTGTCGACAAACCGAATTTCAAAGCAACCGCTGGAGGATATATTCATCAATAACAATAAAATCGTTTGCCAGAGGCGATTTACTTTTTATCACACCCTAAAAGTACACCGAAATCTTCATTTTCATCTAACAGATCAAAAAGTGTCGACAAACCAAATTTCAAAACAACCGCTGGGGGATATATTCATCAATAACAATAAAATTGTTTGCCAGAGGTGATTTACTTTTTTATCATACCCTAAAAGTACACCGAATTCTTCATTTTTGCTGTATGTGTGGCTAGCTGTTTCAGTTCATAACAAAAATATGCTTAGGCTGTCAGTGTGCGAACAAATTTTGTCATTTAAAGTTACAAGTGCGTTTTATTTGATTTCTCACTCCCTTAAACTTTGATTCAAATCGTGTAAAGTGGAGGGAAACCTACTAGAAATAGTATTATATAGCTTTATTTTAAAAAATACCAACCCGGAAAACAACCGGGTTTTTAATTCAAATTCAGCCCGAAAAAACGGAAAATCTAATAAAAATGAGCCCGGATTAAACCCGGAATCTTTTTTTATACAACCCGGACTTTTTTAAATCAACCCAAAATTTCGATCATTCGTAGGGGGCATAATGGGACAGGGGCGAAATGGAACAGGGGCGAAATGGGAAAGGGGCAATTTGGGAAAGGGCCGAAATGGGAAGGGGCGAAATGGGAATAAATGGGAAGGGGGCTTAATGGGACGGGGGCCAAATGGGAAAGGGGCAATTTGTGAAAGGGGCAAAATGGGAAGGGGCCAAATGGGTAGGGGCCAAATGGGAAGGGGCCAAATGGGAATAAATGAGGGGCGAAATGGGAAGGGGCAAAGTGGGAAGGGGCGAAATGGGAAGACACCCTTGGTATCATATGTTCGGAATGAAATGAAACATCTATCCGAACCTCATTGGAACAAAACGACATAAACACACCGTGTTTAGGTCCCTCAATATTGTAATAGTACAAAGGAACGTTTGGTTGATTTTAAAAAAGTATCTTGTTAATGAAATAAAAGGTTTATCTTAATTTTTATTTATTTTGGGGGGTTTTGTTTTAATTTTTTGAATACTTTTTGTTAATTCAATCAAAATTTCCTAGTATTGAAAGGTCTAAGAAAATGTTGTATATGCTATTTTGTTCCAACAAGGTTCGGAAAGACATTTTATATCATTCTCAAGAATTGGTAGAAAGGAACAAAAAATTTAATCGACTAAGATCTGGCCTCTTATTAAAATCACACCTTTATGCTCACAACTTCAAAGACATTACTGATCCTTTGTGCCATTGTGGTGTACCAATGACAACCATGCATTTTCTTTTAAAATGCCCACTGCTACAGAATGAAAGAAACAACCTTATTGCAGGCCTTCGTACTTACAATTTAAGTGACTTGTTCAATAATTACAACTTGAACGACAAATTACAATTTTTACTGTTTGGAAACACTAACCTGGATGCTGCTATGAATGAAGCTTTAATTCATATTGTTAGCTATTATATACATACAAGTCTTGTTTTATTATCTATCTAGTAGTAATTTGACAAGTCCTTTTTTCTGCAATGACCGACTTATTTTTCAAGTTCCGTTAACACCCCGGCCCATGGGATAACCTTCAGGTATTTTGAAATAACCTAAACAAATTCTTCCTATTTCAATATCTAATATCTACATGCATATATAATATATATATATATTAAATTGCCGCTAATGTTAGAAAAACCTTGGCAATTAGTAATTATTGTAATTGAATGTAAATGTTTATATTAGTAATAAATTGATAACATGAAAAAAAGGAACAAAAAGCAATTGCACTAAAAATCCAAAAATGTCAACAAAAACAGTTATATAAAATAATATAAATAATTTTCGCATTAAATTGTTGTCAATCAGTCAACATTACATAAATTTTTACAGAATGTTTTCAATAATTGGTTTAAGAAAAAAACATTGTTAAATTCAGTTCACCATATCGATACCTATCCTTTTCTAATTTTTATCAACCGTTGCAATAGAGCTGCAAGTTATGACAAAAATTATGCATTTATTTAAATCACGTGACAGAATATTAACATATCAGAGTTCTCGCAAACATACTGTACTTGAGTGCACAATCGAATTTGCTAACTTCATTTAACAAATCTCCAGATTCAACAAAGTTATAGGTCAAAACTATTTTTCAAGAAACCTCTTCTATTGAAATAACAAAAGAAAATTTGTTTTAAAAAATGACTGTAACTTTAGTGTTCATTTAAAGTAATCTATATTTCAAACGAACTTATGTTAGTCTCAGTCTATAAGTTAGGGTGCGAAATAGTTAGACAATTCATTTTTCCATATAAAAGATATTTTCAGTGAAACATTTACTGGACAGCTATCCAAGAATCTGATTTGCCCCACACCCAACATTTCACATGTCACGTTGGTTTACATGGGAATGACGATTTTCACAAAATCATCAAAGATGTATCAATTTTTGACCTTTTGTATTTGAGAAAAAATTGAGAAAATGTGGAGGTATAGAAAATAGAGTCAACGGATTTTCAGTGCAGGTAGGTTGCCAAACTTTTGGAGGGAGGCCAAGCAATTAACTATAAAAAACGATCACTTCAAACCATCGAATTAAGAACATGTACTTACTGTACCTGCATCGATCATAGATATAACTAAAGTATGTCAATTTGACACATCGAAAGACACTTCGAATGTCTGCATTATTGTATAAAAGTGAAGATACACGCCCATTCTCCCATTCTTGCTCATTTTGTCGGACACCTCCCTTGCGATCGACTATGCAGACTTTAGTGATGCTCGTTTTGTTGCTGGGGATCTCCCAAGCGCAGACTGACTGGCCACAGATAAAAGATAAAATAGACAAATTTGTAAATGAGATCCTTGAATGCAGAGGGAAGGTCGGGATGAATCTAGCGATTGTACAAGACGGCGAAACTCAATATACGACGGGCTACGGCTACGCCGACTTGGAAAATCAGGTTCCTAATGATGGCGAGACAGTACATTTTGTATATTCCATTAGCAAGTCAATGTGTGTGACGTTATTTGCCCAATTGATAGAAGAGACGGGGTAAGAACAATTGCAACTCCTTGCAAAAACAATTGAAAAATTGTTTTAATTTTGGTGTCACTGAATCACTTAAATATATTTCCTTGTCATCGATTCAATTGTTTTGAATCAAATTAGTGTGTAGGAATCATTTTTATTTATTTTTTTATTTCTCTTTTCAAACAGTACAAGTACAATAATTAGAACAGTTCAGATATTTTTCACACCACCTCCATTCATTCAGACATTTGCAACAGTCATGCTTTTAAGTTCAGGTACATAATAAAACATATTTTTTTCAAATTGCACCTCATACAAATTGGGATTCACTTCGTCGAACTCTTTAATAAAAATATAGTACTTAATTGCAAGGGTAAGTCTATTTGGTAAGATATTTTTCTTATTAGCTTGCCTTCCAAAAACCATGTCATGGGCGTTAAAATCGAAATCAACTTTAAATAAACTCTTTAAACTCCCTTTGATTGCTTTCAGAAATATTTGAGTCCTTTTGCACTCCCAGAATTTGTGTTTTAACGTATCTCGAAAGGCACAATGGTCATTTAGAGTCATTTTTAATGCCTATCTGCGCTAAAAAGGCATTTGTAGTGCAGATACCATGAAGTATTTTAAACTGAAGTTGTCGCGTTTTATTCTGTTTCGTACACATATAAGGCATTTTAAAATAATCAGATCTCTTTAATTCACGATCATGTTTGTCTTTATATAACGGTTCCAAGAACTTGTTTCCATTTAATATTGTTTGAATTGATTTAACCGTTATACTAGAGATTGTCACCTGTTTTTCACCAAGTTTCAAATACACGAGTTCTTCCTGTATGCTGGGTTCAAAGGTCGAGTTTAAATCTGATTTCAATAGAAATTTCCAATCATTTGGTATAGCCGATATGATTGAAAAATACTCAAGAAAGTTGATATTAATATTATACTTAGTCTTAAACTCATTGTACTGTAAAAAAACATTCTCGTTAAGAAGGTCATTGATATAAACGACTCCTTTTTCCATGAGATGTTTGTACATCACCTCCTTATCATTAATTAGAATTGATTTGTTATTCCAAATTATTTCACCTTTAACCCCTGAACTGGTTCTAGGCGGCGACATATTTCTTAATTCTGAATAGTTTCGAAGCAAATTCATATAAAAGGTAGGAACATTGTGTGCCAGTGTTCTAATATCATAATTACACTGCAACAAAAAACTCAGTCCTCCAAGACGCTTGAAATAAACTTGAGGAATAAGCTTCCAGTGACTAGTTCGTGAGTCAAGTAAACGTCTTAACCACATTAATTTCAAGGCTTTCTCCATTGTGAACATATTGATCATTCTTAGACCCCCATCCTCAAAATCTCCTATTAAAGTATTTCGCTTGATTTTCTCACCCTTTCCTCCCCATAAAAAAGAATAGACTAGTCGTTGAGCCTTCGTCAAGATATCATCAGGCGTATTGGTCATTGTCATCGAGTATATTAGCTTCGACACTGCCTGGGACTTAATTATGAGTACCTTTCCATAAAAAGTAAGATCTCGCTTTGACCACAATATAAGAACCTTTTCAAGCATATTTAACTTTCTCTCAAAATTATCTTTGTTATTTGCATTTGTGTCATATGATATTTTTATCCCTAAAAGTCTACTTGGTATCTTTACCCATTTCAGACCAAAAAGGTTTATTTCATTATTATGACGATCATTTCCAATATACATACACTCTGTCTTTTCTCTATTAATACATAAACCTGATATTAGTCTGAAATCTTCAACGATGTCCAATGCTTTTTGTAATGACGTTACGTCCTTGAGAGTCAACGTGGTATCATCTGCAAAGATCGCTAGTTTTTGACTTGCCTCGCCAATGTCAACTCCCTGTATACCATTGTCTTGTCTAATTTTTAAGGCGTGTGTAGGAATCATAAGAATTGGTATCATGAAACGCTTCCTAGTCAACTCGTACCCAAGACAAGTCGTACCCAAGACAAGTCGTACCCAAGACAAGTCGTACCCAAGACAACTCGTACCCAAGATTATTTTCAGTATTATGGGTGCATATTTGGGGAAAATTGAGTTTGTATAATAATGTTTTCATGTTGGTGAATCAAATAAGCCTCAATATTTTTTTTGAATTTAGAAGACATTTTTCTCAATGGATCGGGAAAGCATTTTGATTTAACTTGGATCACCTTTATATATATAAATAAATATAATTACAACATTGAATCTAATACTTGTTCCAAACACTCATAAACATACAATATTTTGAAAAATGATTATGAATATGTGGATAAAACATATGTCTCTTCACTTGAACATCCTGAATCTGTGACCAATATAAAATAATAGTCAAAATAAATTTACACTCAAAGCTCAAAATGTCACAAAATTAAATCAATTTCTTCCGAAAATTCTTCTTCAAACTTTAAACTATTCTGAACACTATGTTACAATTATAATATGTATATCTGTTCACATTCCCAGTCCAATGCTTGATTCAAAACAAAATATATAATTGGGTACGAGTTGTCTTGGGTACGAGTTGTCTTGGGTACGACTTGTCTTGGGTACGAGTTGACCAGTTACCCATGAAACTAGTTTTCAAAACGTCCTTTTCCCTTCTAATGATACAAAAACGTATGGTCGGGGTAAACTAGTTCTAAAATACGATGCTATTTCGTCGTTCTTGCAAATGAACCTACTAATAACGAATAATCTTAATAAGAATGTGAACTTTCATGAGCGTCTAGAAATTGTATTGAAAAGTACTTCGATTATTTATCTTGTTCCAAACGTTTTGCATATTTCTGACTGAAAACACCATTTGAACCTATCTGTAATCTTTGCATGCGTATCGGTCACGTATCCATAAACAGAATGAACTTTCTAAAACGGGGCAAGACGCCATTAAGATTTTGAACAGACTCGAATTTCTGAAGCGCCTTCCCGTCCGAGCACGTTCATGAAGTTCGTAAAAACAACGCGTACGTGAAAGTGTAGAATTATGGTCATCTTGGTAGAAAATACTTCCCAAAATGAATATAAAGGTATAAGAGAAACAGTTTTAAAGAGATGCATGTATCGAAAACTGTTTATGAACGATTTAACATCGTATTTTGGGATGTTCCAATCCTGAACCAGTCCGTTTTACAATATCTAGTCCGGGAAAGATGGTTTAAACTGTTTGGTATCACCGAGTGGTTAAATATTTTAACGATTTTTTATCCACATATTTGCATGTTATATTATATATATAGTATCAAACAATGTCATAGAATTACAATGCCTCTATTTTTAGTACAATATTGATATCAAAATTGTGCTTTTTAATTCATAGAATATCGTGGGACTCGTTGGTGGTAGATCTGTTGCCAAACTTCCGATTCCGAGATGAGGAGAGAAACAAGGCGATAAAGTTGCGAGATTTGCTAGGCGGCTCGAGTGGATTTCCCGAGGTGCTTCCCGCACATTTCGATACAAAGGAAAAGTTTCTCGAGTAAGTGAAATCAAACTCATATAATGAAGACTATTTATTTTATTTACTAAAAATATATCTGATTTAAAAGGCCAAATATCATTATTATTATAGGCGTAGTAACGGTTGTAGCTGGCGATGCAACAGCTTCACCAATTTTTTTACAAAAATATTGCTGCAGTCGATTTTCTTTGCAATTGAAATTAAATGGTAGCTTATCATACACCGTTGCTCATAAATATGGAATATTTTCCAATTTACCATTGATAGTATACTGATGTTTGTGAAATGCATGATATTCCTTATGTGACCAACAATGCATTGCCTTTAAATCAAAGTTGCTACAACCTGGGTATTATCATTATTATTTTTCGATTTAGTATATTGCTATATAGTAATCACATTTTAATTCATCAGTAAAATGGACCTCCGAGCGCAGGGGTCTAGACATCCACTATGTTTAGAAGAAAGAAGGAATATACTGGATGAGGTCTTGACCCTGCGTTCGGAGGATGTCTACTTTGTTGTTACTTACGTTAATTTTCCAGGATAATCCAATGCACGGAACCAGTCATGACCACGCGTGAAAGTTTCTGCTATGTTGACAAAAATTATTTCCTTGCTGGTATGATACTTGAACATTTGACGGGTAAATCGTATACAGAATTGGTGAATGAACGAATATTTGCCCCATTGAATATGAACACATCATTTCCATCCCAAGAGAAAAGGTACGACGATTCCGTTAGTAAATGGGCCTATGGCCATGCTTTAATAGATGGGCAGATCGTTACTGATAGACGACCGGGAAGTGAAGAGGACGCCGCGTCAGCATTTTACTATTATGACTTTACTGTGGGACTCAGGTAAACTGTTCATTCAAATAAATTCAAAATGTAAAGTCAGACTGTATTCAATCGACCACTTATGTGTCCAAAAATTATAAAACTTTTCAATTAGAAATTCACATTTCCAATGCAAATAAATGCAGTTCCTTTGACCAAGACCCTGGTGTTAGTATTTATGTTTTAGGCCAACGTAAATATGACAGCTGTGTTCGTTCAATTTTATGTGAAGCTCAAATTAGAGCGCTACTCAACTGTTGACATTGCCATCTTAACTTTACGGTGTTCGTATGTTTTCATCGATGTCGTAACATGATGTTTAACATCAAATGAGGATTTATATTATCTTCTTATTTTCAAAATGATGTAATGTACAGGGTGTCTCAAAATGACCCGAAAATATACACAATGTTTTCATCTTTGCATGGCCATTTAGACGAAGCATGTACGCTTTCTCCCCATTATTAGACAATTTTTACTTTAGTTTTGCCTTTTTGATGCTTTATAACCCTAGATTTTACAGCAAATAGATTGAACTAAAACTGTGTATTTGGAAGAAAACTTACATACTTCGGTCACCTGCATAACCATCCAACAAATGTCTGAAAATATTAATTGCTAAATATCTGTTGAAATACCTTGGGGATATCTTTGAGACACTCTGCATTTTACTGGCAAATGAGTCGGAGAAAATAATTATATCCGTTTGTACATTTCTTACCAATAGTATAGTTTCCATTCCATCTCGCTAAATCTCGTTTTTCGTGAGATTTTAAGAGACTTGCATATTAGACCTGTAATGACTCACATTACCTTCTTTTAAATGGCATATTTGAATTCAGTGAAATGTTTTCTCCTTTAATAGCTTTGATTTACACAATTATGTAATTTGAATAATTTTCTATAACAATTTAAAAAAACTTGGGCCAAATGTCCATAGATGCAATGCTAAAATTCTTTAAATCCGTGGATTATTTGTATGTCAATCAACATTTGCATGTTAAATCACATCATGTACATAAACAGGGTCATCATGTGGTATATCATTCAAGTTTTATACAGATTCAACAAACACACTTTGATAAATCATGAAATTAAGCCACTTTTCCAAGATTTTAGCATGTAAATGAATGGAGATCTAGCCCAAGTTAAAAGCTGAATAAAAGATGGCAGCACGAGATTTCATTGATTTTTCTGCTATTTAGAAACTATCCTATTTTGAATTAAAATCAATTAGTTAACTTCATTTACTCGAGACATTATAACATTGTCATTATTGTGATGGGTACTAGATCGGATTATTAGTTTCAGCTTCCATTTCTTCCACCGTAATATGTTTATACCAAATTATATCGATGTCATTGAATATCCCGAGTGATTGGTTGATTCCATCAGGCGAGTCTCAGTACTCGAGCTCTATAAAAACCGCTATAGGAACACCCTGACAACGGAAAGGCCAGATACCGTTGTCACAAATGGCTGACGTAACCGTCAACTCTTTAATCACTCGGTTCTCATTTCATGGGACCTTATCATCGCTAAATCTATGCATGTATTAAGAAAAGACAAGGTAATCGAGCTAGACGCATTACCGTTGTCTTTCGATAATGTTATCGTTGGCATCTGATTTTACAGCACATTTGACCTACATTTACACTTGTCGTTTATACATAATCGTTGATGAGTAGAAAGACACTTTGATTGACTTTTTACCAAAGGAATTTAATCTAGGTCTTCTATTAAAAATGCAGTTAATAAAAATTGGATAGAATACAAACCTATGGCCGCCATTTGTGACAACGATATCTGACTTTACCTTTATCAGAATGTTCCGGTGTGTTAACGGAAGTGAAAGTTGAAATTTCTCGTATCTAATTAAAGTAGATTAATAAGCGCTTGTTTTGTATGCGCGCTATACATAGCTATATTGATTCATGTACTTTCCGTTCATGGTTGCGTTGTAAAAAAAGATTGCTAGCTTAAACTCTCCATTGTATTTGCAGCGACGCTGATACCTTAATAGGGCCAGCATACGGAGCAATGTCAACGGCAGAAGATATGGCGGAGTATGTGAAGTTCCATCTTGGCGTGTATAGAAATGATGGATCCACCAATCCAGTTGTAGACCCTGCAATATTGAGGGAAATGTACAAACCGGATCAAGCCATAGATTTCTTGACATCGTTCCTTGAGGTTGACGGACTAGATGATGTGCAAGAAACGTGGAGAATATATGACTATGGCATGGGATTTTGGATGGGGAATTATAAAGGTGAGTATGGAGAAAAATTTACCATCCTTTTTTCATACATATCTGAATTGTACATTCCAACCTATTTAGTACAGTTTAAAGGGTCGTCATATGCTTGTTGCATTGAAGGGTCAAAAGAGTTCGAAAACATATATAAATTATAAAATATCTGGTGTGATAAAATACTAATTCTAATCAATGGGTATGGTCTAAACATGGTCTGAAACAGGCAAGGTTAAATTAAATATTCGAGGCAAAAGATTAAAGGAGAAACATATGAAAAACGTCTCTGCAATCGCCTAGTGTTTCGATCAATCGTGCCTCTTTTATTTCTAGTAGTACAATAATATACAAGTCCTCTTAAAACACCCATTTATGGTGTCTTATTTCAGACACAGACATCGCACAACACGGTGGTTATGGGCCCCATAATACAATTCTGACGTTGTTCGAAAACTGGAACATTGGCATTTATACATCGATAACAGGACCCAATAGGCTCCAAGGACATGCTACGATGGCATTGATTCATTTCTATATCGCTGACATCCTTCGGGGCAATACTCCAATCTATGATATCGAATACGCTTGTGAATACACTCTCCCCGATAAATACGGTGCTTACTGCGGGCCTTTTAACATATTTCCCGAATATAGCATCGATAAATCAAAAAAGTCAACCTCTCCCATTGAAACCTACATTGGAACTTATGTTAAAGGAGATGAAGAGGTCGAAATTAAAATTGGCCGCACTACCGCTGACTTAATGATGAAGAAAGGTTGTGAAAAGTACATCCTTTACCCAAGTGGAGTGGCCAATGCTTTTGTTGCCCAATCCACAGGGGAATGTTATGGATGTGCTAAAAGTGTTGTCTTTACAAGCGTATCCGAATCTGGGTCATCATCGTCTGAAGGTTTCTCAACACTGAGTATAGATGGCGTCAAATTTCGAAACTCAGAGATGAGTTCTGAGAGAGAATGTGATTAATCATATTGACACTTTGTCGACAGAAAGATGGCAGCAGTGGTAATAATAGAAGAGACTGCTATCTTTCTGTCAAACTAGTCCATATGCAATTAATCATATTGACACTTTGTCGACAGACAGATGGCACCAGTGGTCATAAGAGAAGATATAAAGAGACTGCTATCTTTCTGTCAAACTAGTCCATATACAATTAATCATATTGACACTTTGTCGACAGACAGATGGCATCAGTGGTCATAAGAGAAGATATAAAGAGACTGCTATCTTTCTGTCAAACTAGTGCATATACAATTAATCATATTGACACTTTGTCGACAGACAGATGGCATCAGTGGTCATAAGAGAAGATATAAAGAGACTGCTATCTTTTTGTCAAACTAGTGCATATGCAATTAATCATATTGACACTTTGTCGACAGACAGATGGCATCAGTGGTCATAAGAGAAGATATAAAGAGACTGCTATCTTTCTGTCAAACTAGTCCATATGCAATTAATCATATTGACACTTTGTCGACAGACAGATGGCATCAGTGGTCATAAGAGAAGATATAAAGAGACTGCTATCTTTCTGTCAAACTAGTGCATATGCAATTAATCATATTGACACTTTGTCGACAGACAGATGGCATCAGTGGTCATAATAGAAGATATAAAGAGACTGCTATCTTTCTGTCAAACTAGTCCATATGCAATTAATCATATTGACACTTTGTCGACAGACAGATGGCATCAGTGGTCATAAGAGAAGATATAAAGAGACTGCTATCTTTCTGTCAAACTAGTGCATATGCAATTAATCATATTGACACTTTGTCGACAGACAGATGGCATCAGTGGTCATAAGAGAAGATATAAAGAGACTGCTGTCTTTCTGTCAAACTAGTGCATATGCAATTAATCATATTGACACTTTGTCGACAGACAGATGGCATCAGTGGTCACAAGAGAAGATATAAAGAGACTGCTATCTTTCTGTCAAACTAGTGCATATACAATTAATCATATTGACACTTTGTCGACAGACAGATGGCATCAGTGGTCATAAGAGAAGATATAAAGAGACAGCTATCTTTCTGTCAAACTAGTGCATATGCAATTAATCATATTGACACTTTGTCGACAGACAGATGGCATCAGTGGTCATAAGAGAAGATATAAAGAGACTGCTATATTTCTGTCAAACTAGTCCATATACAATTAATCATATTGACACTTTGTCGACAGACAGATGGCATCAGTGGTCATATGAGAAGATATAAAGAGACTGCTATCTTTTTGTCAAACTAGTGCATATACAATTAATCATATTGACACTTTGTGGACACAAAGATGGCAGCAGTGGTCAAAAGGGAAGATATAAAGAGACTGCTATCTTTCTGTCAAACTAGTGCATATACAATTAATCATATTGACGTTTTGTCGACAGACAGATGGCATCAGTGGTCATAAGAGAAGATATAAAGAGACTGCTATCTTTCTGTCAAACTAGTCCGTATACAATTAATCATATTGACACTTTGTCGACAGAAAGATGGCAGCAGTGGTAATAATAGAAGAGACTGCTATCTTTCTGTCAAACTAGTCCATATGCAATTAATCATATTGACACTTTGTCGACAGAAAGATGGCATCAGTGGTCAAAAGGGAAGATATAAAGAGACTGCTATATTTCTGTCAAACTAGTGCATATACAATTAATCATATTGACACTTTGTCGACAGACAGATGGCATCAGTGGTCATAAGATAAGATATAAAGAGACTGCTATCTTTCTGTCGACCTACTAAATATGCTGTTAATGAAAATCTTTTTTTCTTTTCCATATAAATATTCAATATAATTCGTGCTTCCTTACTCTCTATATTATTGCTTTATGTAATCTACAAAAATTATGATTATCTAAAATGACTAGCAATTGAATTGAAGCGAAATTGTAGGACAGAAACAGATGTATATAGATTTGTATATGAGAAAGTGACGTGCAGTCCAAGCATTTCTTAATTGTAGTTATTTTCAATAGGGAGTTACATGATAATATATTTGGGAGTCTGGATTTTTCTTGTTTAGTTAAAATCGAGGGTTACATTGTCCACCATCTCGGATGCCACTAACTCCACTTGTAGACCAGTACCAATGAAGGAAATGGCTCGGTGCAAAAAACAATATTATTTGAAATAAATATCCATGTGGATACCATTTATTCGGGTCGCTATGCATATTATATTCATTTTATTATCATGGCATAAAATATGTCTAATTTCAAAAATAACTGATGAGGATGCGGGGTTTTTCATGGAAACGTATGTATAAAGATAATATTTTAAGATTGAATGTCATTTTTGATTATAAGAATAAATGAAATGATGTTCATTCATGAGATAATGTAAACAGATATTTTGAAAAGAATTGCAAATAAATTTTGATTTGATTAACATAGGAAATTCTGTTTTAAAATCAACATTTAGGCAGATAGAAGCCGATTTTGTCTGTATTCCATAGATCACTAGTACTCACCTAGTTACGCTGACGATACGCCATGGCCAGTGTAACAAGATGGAAGAACTCCCGGGCTTCGTTTTCGGTAAGATATTATTATTTCTCGATTCTACACCACTTATCGTAAGTCAAGTTGGTGACAATATTCAAGATCGTCAACGTAACAAAAGAGAGGGACTAAATATGTGAATTGCGTCTCCGTTAATATACCAAACATCATAGAACCGCCTGCATATTCTCAAACAAGACTAGCTTCCTTAACTTTAAGCCAAATTATTGTCCCCAACTTGACTCATAAGTGGTGTAGAATCGAGAAATAAAAATATCTTACCGAAAACGAAGCCCGCGGCCGGAAGTCCTTTCATCTTGTTACGCTGACGTATCGTCAGCATAACTAGGTGAGTACCAGTGATAGATAGCCGAAAAAGGCATGAGTGCAAAGTACAAATAACCTCACTATTAGAGTCTGTATCAGGAAACGACAATACCTGTTACCTCCCCAGTATATACGTATTTGTTTGAAAATATAAATATTTTAATGGGAATTGAGACTATCGAGGATAATTATTAGAAGTATTCATCAGAATTTCATGGAAAATCGATCATTCCGAGTGTAGAACATTCGCGCCATTGTCAATAACAAATTTAAGAAATATAGACAGAAGAGCAGGTCATCGACTATTAAAAACCTCAGGGCTGGGCACAAACGTTTTACTGTGCCGCGAACGGCCGAAGGACGTGAGGGGTTCGAAACCTTTTGTGCCTAGCCCTGAGGTATTTACTACTCGATCTGAGGTTCATATTACGATTCGAACATGAAAACTCACCAAAGTTTTTCGAATTAGTATTAGATCATTGCCTTCCGACGATTTTTGTGCAGACATTGTCGTTGCATGTGCTGCTTTATTTTGTTTGTGAATAAGCAACTTTTTGATTGAATAATGAATTCCTTGTATGGATATCTTGAAATGAAGAACAATCTGCTCCTCTCCATTGACCAAATTAGGCGATGGCATCCCGTTGTTATTCAAATATTCCAGTTTTACCAGTGGTAAATTGAACATACAACGGCTCCGGAAATGTTTGAATCGTTATGTTGTTTTTGGATCTACATTTCCCTAGCTGCAAAGATTTGGCAACGCTAACTTCCCCATTTTATTGGGTGTTAAGCCCCTTATGAACCATGGCCACTTTTAGAAAAAACACTTTTAAATATTTGACATCTTTCATTTCCAATAACTCTAATTTTCTCAACTGTTTCAAAAACTACAACATTTCCATTATGGTTGAAGATCACAGTAGAGTTTCCCATAGGTGGCCATTATAACATTTTACCCTGTATCTTATTAACGATTAGTATCCAAGCCTAGTGCAGCATACCAAAGTGTTCGGGAGAGACTCGCCTAGCCTGCTATAACAATCTTACCATGGGTTGTCCACCGAATTTTTGAGATAAATAAACTTGAAGACACTAACCCCCTCTATCGTCAGATTTCTCAGAGAATTCTGGTAAAATCACCAAGGTCAAAATCACTCCGCCGCCAGCTTAAAATGAGATTTCCCACTGAACTCTGACATGTTTTCAGATAAATTAGGACCTACCCTATAAATATTTAGTCCCGATTCACTTCCCAAACGCTAGATGGCGCTCCAATGGGGTAAGGAAGGAGAAAATGACTTTTTATTCAGAAAACCAAATCACTAACGGTAACCGCTAATGTCCTTACTCAGGACTATATCCTAATAGTAAACTGAATTAGTTTGTTTTCTTCCAACATGGTTATATTAGCATTGTAGGCATTATCCCGATCACAATGGTATATTACAATCCTATATTTGAGAAAAAGCACGGAGGAAAAGTCAATCCTTATAGACACAGGTCCTTTTAGCAAAATTCAGGAAATTTGATTTTGAGATTTCTTGAAATTTCTTTGGGGTAGGGGTACACCTTACAGATTGCATCACAGATTGAGTACACCCAACTGAGGTGAACATGGCCATATGGGGTATCATTGGAAAGCGATTTCTACTATATTTCAAGTGATATCCATGCCAAGGCGTTCAATTGCATCTTATGACGTCATATTGGTAGGAAGAAACAAAGGTTCATTCAAAACTGCCCCGAAAACAATTGAATGGCACGGGAGAATGCAATTCGGGGTACTTGGCACAGTGGCCTCGCCCCCAAAACACCAAAATTGCTTCAAAATGTCACGATTTTGGTAGCATTGTTCAGCTAAGATACAGCCCTTTAATATGATATGCGCTATTAGGCTTCTCAATGAACTAAAAAACCTCAAAAAGGGATAAAACCTTCAAAATGCCCCAAAAAAGCGCCTTCTAATAGGTTGAAGATCACAGTAGAGTTTCCCATAGGTGGCCATTATAACATTTTACCCTGTATCTTATTAACGATTAGTATCCAAGCCTAGTGCAGCATACCAAAGTGTTCGGGAGAGACTCGCCTAGCCTGCTATAACAATCTTACCATGGGTTGTCCACCGAATTTTTGAGATAAATAAACTTGAAGACACTAACCCCCTCTATCGTCAGATTTCTCAGAGAATTCTGGTAAAATCACCAAGGTCAAAATCACTCCGCCGCCAGCTTAAAATGAGATTTCCCACTGAACTCTGACATGTTTTCAGATAAATTAGGACCTACCCTATAAATATTTAGTCCCGATTCACTTCCCAAACGCTA